CAATGGCAGTCTCAACAGTTGAATGAAATGGTAGGTTAACTACCGATATTATAATAATACATTATTGGCTTTCCATTTCAACAACTCTACTTAGTAAAAGTTATCTGGGCATTCAAAAGTATTCTGGTTTGGACTGCTATTTGTTACATGATATAAATATTTCAGTATTTTCAGTCAAAAGTAGAAGCTCTTAATTAGCATGGCTGATAGTCATTAAAAAGTTTGGAATACAAGTTTTCCAGTAAACTATCTGACCTTTTTGGTACTGGAGCCTGAAGTTAGAAATGTGAGTAGTCTCTTTTGAACATCTGGTAGCTCTTTTGTATTGTAACACTCAATAGAGTTGCTTTCTATTAAAGCATCTGTAGTAAAAGGTTTTAGAGACTGTCTTTAAGTTTTAAAGCCAGATATTAAATACCAAAAGTTATTGTATTTTATTTTAAATATTTGTTTATTTAACTTCCTAGGTTTATCCAGGGCAGCCTCAAAGTAATACGTATTTGGTGGCAGGGAGTGCACAGATGGGCCATATTCAAGGCTATAATCTTCCTCCTGAACAACTCTCTTCTCTCAGCCAAGGCACAGTTACTCCATCTGCCAGCTCAGTACTGCCTGGTCAGCCTGCACAGACATCTTACACAAAGTAATTTTAAGTATTTTCCTATTCAAGTTTAAATAAATTTAAACATAAAGGACTACAGATAATATTTTAAATATTTAAACACAACTTGGAAGATCTCTCAGTGCAATTATTTTCAGTGTGCTTTTTATTGGTATTGTGTCTTTGGTAAAAATTCCTGAAAAATGTCAAGCTTTTCTGGTATTTTTATAATTTTCTCTAGTTTTTAATTTTGTATAAAAGAAAGATTAGAGAAAATTATATAGACATGACTGATTTTTTATCATTTTTTTTTTTTAGATAACTTACTATACATTTAATGATGAAGATTATCTGCTACTCTGGCTGGCTTTGCATAACTTCTGAGAAAGTGTATATTATATTGTTCTTTTTTTCAAATATCCTACTGTGGAAGCATGGGGAAAATTCTGTTCATTTTGGAAAAGATGTGAATGAGCTATGAACACTTACTAAAAGCTTACACAGCTTCCACATATAAAGAAGCTACAAGTGGCTTTCTGTTTTGGATAGATGCTTAAAGATGCTTAGCTTTGGCTAAGCTACCTATATTGTGAAAAACTTTTGAATTGACCTTCAGAAAAGATCAGGGTTTGTTTTGTTTGGGTTTTTTAACTCTCTGTAAAGTAATTTTATTTTATACAGTTGGTAGAGACATCCGTCTTGAGTTATTCAAGTATTTGTTAGTCTCTGTCCCCCACAGTTACTTATTTGGAGTGGTAAAACATATATTGATGAAGTGAGTTTCTGCATACTTCACCTGACTTGTTTTACTATTTAAAACAGTTGGCTGGGGTTTGATTTTTTTCATGGTCAGAATGGAAGACAGATGGGATTCCATGTTGTACATTAAAATAAAACAAAGTATAGATTCACAGTCTAGTTCTAAATCCATGGAAGGTGTGCTAGGTGTGTTTAAATCTGAGGGGTGTGTTTTGAGTTTTAACTGGAATATTAATTGGCTATAGTTTTAAATATTCAAGGTGCCCAGACTTAGGAGATTTGTGTGTGTATATAGAACAGCTGAAGAAGCAATAAAGTGTTGCTGTTCTGTTGGTAAATCATTTGTTAATTAAACTTTTTTTTTTTTAACCCCCCAGTGCAATGGTTGGCTCTGTTGCTGGAAATACTTACTCTAACCAGGCTTCAGTGTATAGTCCACCACCTGCTCCTGTTGATGTTGCTGCTTATCAGAATGCTGGAACTAATATGTCCCAGGTGCCAAACTATAACTTAGCATCTACACCTCTGCCACAGACAGCAGGCAGTCAACAAGCACCTCCACAACAACCACAGCCTCCTCCTCCTCAACAACCGCAGCATAGCTACTCACAGAAGGCTTTGCTATAGGATCCAGGACTTCCAATTCCTAATCTTCTTTAACCTCTGCTAAAGGCAGTTGGCAGTTCTATGAGTTTCTTCCTTTATTCTCTTAAACTTTATTTATCCTCAGCTTAATAAGAATATCTTGGTGAACAAGTTCAATTTGCACTGACTTTTTAGGATTTTTTTTTTTTTCATTTTGCAGAGGAACGGATATATTTAGGACATTTAATTCCTTTTAAAATGCCTAAAAATTGGTACAAGATTATTTATGTCAGGTAAAATTGGCTAGTCTGTGAAAACTCAACACCTGAAAACTGTTGTGGCATATATGTTATGTACATATAGTGTGTGATTGCAATAGTGGCCATTTCGTATAGCTCTGATGACCATGTGAATATATTTAACACAATGTTTAAAAATAATTTACTTTACTATTTTATTTTAATCATGAACTTACAACCATGTTTCATAGTTTTGTCTAGTTTTATGACAGATGTGATGTCTTTTTCCAATGCAGGAAAAGCAGTAATTCTGCATATCATGGTTACACTTACAAGCTAAGATCTATATATGAATTTACAAACTTATCTGAGTCTGAAGTTCATTACTTCTCGAATTGAACACAAGTGTATCATGACTATTAGATGGCTTATCTACCAAAGTAAACTAGTTAACTAGTAAGTGATTTGGGGGGATAACAGCAAATTATGATTCTGCTTCAGATAGAATTAATAACTTAAACTACTATTCAGAGGCTGCTAAACATATCATGGGACCATGCAACAGATCCAGATCTTGCTTTTTATCATGAGAAGCATGTAATTTATTTTTCCAGGTTGTTTTTTATAATGAGAACCAGAACTGTGTTCTGTGTGTCTTGGTAGAGATTACACCAAAGAGAGAGGAATTGAGTTGGAGGAGAAATGATGGAGTTTTAAACTGGAATACACAACATGAATAACACTACTTTACTTTATTCAACTCTTCTTAATTAGAACGTGGAGAATTATGGACGTTTAAATCACTTTGCTGAATAAACCTTCAGGGCTTTATTTTATCTCTTGTGGCCTTGCTTAGCAATTTGTTCTGTTTACTGCTCTTACACAAACACTTCTGCCTTAAACATATGTTTTAATTTCCGGTTGTACCATTTGAGTTTATTAGCCCTTCTATAGTATGAATAGTTTGAGGCATCTTGTTTTCATTCACTTTCAGGTTACTTTGGATTCTCTTCTGCAGCAACAAGCATTAGCCTTTTTTTAAACCCTTACATTTCTCAGTCAATTAGCCAGGTGGCTCTTTAAGACATGATATTTTCCTTCTACAGCTGAGGTGCTGCAGAAGGAACATGGTGATGGAAGGCAGCATTTGAGATATATCTGATCAGAGTTTCTCGTACAAACACTGTTGTTACATTGCAATTGTGTTCAGTCTGTTAATGCATCCTGGTTTCCTCTTACCTTTTCCAGCGACTCTAATTCTAATTAGAGCAATACCAGATGGCTTCAACATCAGATGTGTGTTTTCAGTCTTGTTAGTGTGTATGTCAGAAATAGTTCGTTTTTGTGTACTATATTTTAGTGTGATGCTTCTGGAATTAAAATATTGCAATTGTGTATTATACTATAAGCTGGCCTCAGTTATCCTATACACTCCTGCATCTGTACACAGTTACCTAACATGCCTTTGTTTCACTGCTGTCCTGGTTTTTGCTAGGATAGGGTTAAACTATCATAGATTATATGATTAATATATAGATATATTAATATATCTATTAATAGATACTGGTACTTTGCCTGTTAATACTTTCAGATGACTACTTTGCGTAACACCTAACGGGTGGTTACAAAACGTGCCCATGTGTTCCAGTTAGGGATGTTCTAGCCAGCCTGGCTATTTTGATACTAGTATTTTCACATATTTCTTTCTCCAGAATTCTTAAGCACCCTCACAAACTGTCATTACTTCAGTACTTGGTGTCATCACAGAAGTCTGTGGAATTTGAAAGGAAATACTAAAAAAAAATAAAAATAAAAAAAATCCAAGCTATTTTCATAGATAATTTTTAATAGATTGAAGAGGTGATTTTCTTTAGAAAAGGGATGTAGCATCATTTAGATACCGTCTGTATGCTTTACGTACCTTATTCCAAAATCAGAGAAACAATGTGTATAGATGTGTATAATCTCTACACAAAAGCGAAAGTAACTTTTTACTCCATAGTTCTTAGGTTCTGATTCAAGGAGAAACTTGAAGCATCAAAACAGTCCAGCTGAAAATGACTATTTGTACTCTTTGGTTTTCACATGTTGTGTCATGTGCTCCCTAATAAGGGCCCATGGAACTTCTGTATAGAAATAACTCAGAAAAATACTTATTGTTACTAATTTGTCTTTGTTTTTAAAATTTTTGAAGTCTTCTTTCCTTAACACACAGAAATGCTTTTCCTGGTTTCTCTGTTGAAGACTGAAAACTTATGTGTATCTTAAGTTTTTCTGCCTTCCAATTCACTTATTTTGGGCATTTATCCATCTTTAAGAAAATGAAAATCACCTTTCATTTGTGTTCATCATGACCAAAACCAACTTTCTAAAATGCAATGCCACTATAAGTTCAGTATAATAAAAGTTTTGAAAAGAAGATGGACACTCTTTTTTTTTCCTTCATGCCTTTGTCAGAGTCACTGCTCTGAGGTATCTCCTGTAACAAATTGTGAACTTTAGTTGACTTAGAATCAGTTTTCATTGTCCACGATTGGTGCAGTAGATCACAAGATTTTTAGGTTCAGTCTTTGTGTTTCTACTACATCCTGCATTTTCTACTTCAGATGCAGTTTTCAGATTAAATTGAATTTCCAGCTGTATTGCTTCATGTTGATTTTTTTCATTTATCAGAAAAGATTATTTTGTCTTCACACTTGGTTGTGTCCCAAATATTAGATGCTCTAAAGTGATGCCTCCTCCTACCTTGCTAGATGCTGTCATTGCACTAATTCCTTCACTCATCCTCTCATATCCTCTCTAACTGATAATTTAGCAACTGCATTTTGGTTCACCTCTTCTCAGCTGGTTTGGTATCATGAACCTGGAGATGCTATTGCTGGGGCTTCTCTGCTGTGATTTATTCTGAGATTCCTCATTTATGCGTTGTTTTGACCAAGTTCATGTATGTTCTGTCTTACTATGCTATTGAACACTGAATATGGGTGAGAGCAGGAAAGTAGAGGGATGTACAGCTGCTGTATGGAAAACTTTTTAGCAAATAAATAGTGAGGAAGTTAATCTATTTGAAAGCTAAGAATCCCTGGAAATGATATGTTATTCATGTTCCAGTAGAAGATCTAATTTTTGAATGTCTTGTTTCTTTACATGGGAATTGTTGATGAAAGGCTAAAATGTTTTAATAATATTTTGTATAAACCTTTGTTATTGAACCCTTTCATTAAGGAATACAAAAATGTTAATTAACTCCAGAAGGGGTATTTTAGTGGCTTGTGTATCATGAACTGGAGCAAACTCTGGAAAGTGCCTTCTGTGCATTTCACTTCTATAAACAAAGCTTATTTATCCATGTGTATCATCTCTGTTTATGTGGGCATAACGAAGATGTCAAGACTTGCTGTAAAGCATCCTAGAAAAAACGCTGTTGCAGCATGTTAAAATTTGCTACACTGATGTCATGGCAGTTTGCTCCAGCGTGAGCAATTAGAGGAACAGCTGCAACATATTTACTCACCTCTGTTTAGTAACTGGTACCCATGTAGATGTGCATTTAATGTCACCGTCCAAAGTACATACAGACAGCAGTAAAAAAAACAGTAAAAAGGAACAAAATAAAAGAATTACTGCATGTTTCTCAGCAGGTGTGGACCAGCCTATTGCCTTCATGGTACAGTTGCTATTAATTCATTTTGAGGGGGGAAGAACTTAAATGAGCTTGAGTAACTAGAACTTCAGAGAATTCTGCCAGATTGCAGATGATTAGATGTAACAAAGGAGATAAATTTGCTTTTAATAGCATGTACATATTTTGGTGGTCAAATCTAGGCTGCTATTATAGTTCTCTGATTTCATCTAGATGGCAGGAACATCAGATTTACACTGGAGAACTGCTTAATACCTCATTCTCCAGTTCTTTTCATATTTTCTCTAATATCGCTTACCTTATTTTTTACTCATATTTCAAAGATATCTGTGCAACCTTTGCATATAAAGGTCTTACATTGTCTTCTGGGTTTCACAGAATGAAAAATAACATCTCTAATTACAGCAGCTACAATGGCACTTTGAATTATGTAACTGCAGCTTCCTTTAGAGAAGATGCATGTATCTGTTTTGAAGAACATAATTTTTCCAGTTAAAAATTAGAAGATTTTTTTTAAAAGAAAAAGGTAAAGTAAAAGTTACAAAAAACCTCCATTGCTACAAAACCATCTGTTGCTAACAGCAGGCAGAATCATTTTTTACTCTTATTCAATCTTAGTAAAGCTGACCAACTCCACACTACAGATACTCCTTTTTCATTTTCAGCTGCAATGAAGATTATTTACCTTCATGTGTATGCTATTCAGCACCATAGTAAAACACGGGAGGGCCTTGACATTTGAACTTTTTGCTTCATATGTAAAAAACACTGAACATTTTTGAAGCCTTGTTTCTTAAATTAGGATGTTTGTGTTTCAGAACATTCCATTTGCTACTATATAAAATTGCAGATCCTCAAGTTCACTTTTCATGCTGCTACCTTGGCAAAGGGGTGATAGGAGTTTTTGTTCTATCCTGCATGTGCTTCTGGAAATCCAAATAATTTTTGTCTTTGTCATGAAAAAGAAAGGAAGCCTGCTGCAGTCTGCTTTGGTTTTAATAAAGTGTACACAGTAGCAAAGTGCATTTTTGGTTTTGTTTGTTTTCATGCTCCCTTTGATGTTGGCATATGTATATATTTAGATATACTGCACTGTTGTACAAGAATTGTTTTAGTAAATAACACTATTTGTAAAAACTGTTAATTGTTTTTGGTATGAATGCAAAATATTAAAGTTGGAGTATTTAGTTCATTATGTTGCAAAGTAAATTTATAAATTTCACGGAAGAATAATCAGAGAAGAACTTCCTTTGCTGGAAGGACTTGGAGATGCAGTAGGCAAGGTCTGGTAGAAATACTTAGCTCAAATTTTCTGATTTCAGGTGGAATGGAGGTGGGTTTTTGGTTCTTTCTTCATAGCAGTCACTTCATATTGCATTACGAAGCTAAGGACCTTTAGGCATTGTCTTGTTACAGTAGCTGTTTTTCAAAATCTTATGCTACTCTTGCAGGATAAAGACTTACCTCTCACAATATTTGTAAATTTAAATTATCTGGATTATTTTAAGTCAAGGCTGCTTTGTTTGATACTGATCATGATGTGTGTTTTAAGCAAGAAATGAGAAATAAGCCATTGTGAAAGAAGTTGGAGAGAAACCTCCACTGATAAAGGCTGATCTGCGCTTTTTAAAATTCACATTAGTGTTGGGAATATACATGGGCTACGTGCAATGGTACAGAAAATCATAGAGGGGAAAAAAGGCAAATATGTATTTCCAGTTGTGGACTGAGAGCATCTTTAGAGTATGATATCTTGAGTTGATATAAAATATAAGGAGTGCAGGGATTGTAGCACCTT